GGACATGGACAGCAGCCAGTGCCGCCGCACAATTAGGAAGCGGAGAGGTTCCAGGGTCTATTACTTTTGTGTTTTATGTAATTTACTTAATTGCACGTTTGCATCCTTTCGCGTTCGTCCGCGGCCGTGTGGAACAACGGGCTCCCACAATTCCTGAAAATCGAACAGCGGCCCTCGCGGGCCAGGGCGCGGTGGCCCCCGCGGCCCTTGGCTGCGTTTCCGGATTTATTCTCGCGTGCGTTGGGGAAGGTCTGGCTCCTCCACCCCAGATACGACTGCTTAAAGCAAGTCGGAGTTTTCTGAAAGAGCGACTTGATTTAAAGTCAATTAAAAATGTATTAAGTAAATAGTTCCCGGGGAGAGAGCTATGCAGGCGAGAGGGGCACCCAGGAACCTGGGGTTTGGGAAAGACTTCAGTTACCACCTGTCTTGAGGGCAGAGCGAAATCAACGCATAAACGCTCAACCCACAGGGGAAAGATATGATTAATTAACAAAGGAAAGGGAAGCCGCTGGACAATCAGAGAAACAGCAAACCGTGTCAGAGCGAGGGTGGGAGCGCCAGGTGCCGGAGCCGGGGCTGCGAAGTGACGAAGTGCGGTCCCCCAGCGCCGCTGCTTTGGGAGGGACGGAGCTGGCGCCGACAGGAAGAACCAGAAAGCTGTCGAGGCCCTGGACTCAATAGCTTCCCGCTGGGAATCTATCCCGAGGCAATAATCCAAAAAAGGAAAAACCATTAACACCTACAGGTGTTTGCTGCCGCCCCTGCAACATTATTCATCACCGTAAAAAAAAAAACAACCCCAAAAACTGTCAGCCTTATAAACGCCTCCCTGGCAGGACGGCTAACCTCCTGCTGGCCGGCACATGGGATCTGGACGACGGGGCAGCTGCTAACATGGTGTTTACAAAAATTAAGTTAAATGGCAGGATAGTGGCTAGTTTCATGCAAGTGAAAAAAATCAGACCGCAAACCCACGTTAGGGCATCGTCGGGAAAGAGTAACAGCTGCGCCTAGAAAGTAGCCAACGGGAGAGGCCTGCGGGGGTGGGGGTGGGGGTGGGCGTGGGCGGCTTTCTTCTCTCTGCTGCTCCTGACCTAATAACCTAATGACCCCCGTAACTGCAGTCAGCACGCACGCACGGACGCACCTGTCCCTGGCCGCCCCGCCCTGAGCCTTGCTGGGGAAACTGAGGCTCAGAGCAGTTTGGCGCTTTGCCCGAGGTTCCTGGCTTGCAAGCGCAGGGAGCTCCGCACTCCATCTGAACCCAGCTCTGACCCCGAGACCGTGTGGGTCCCTCTCTCCGCTGGGTTTGCAGGGGTGTAGCCGTGAGGCTTCCCAAGTGAAACTCAACTTGCAATGGCCTGCGAGTTGCCTCCTCTGAGGTCCTCCCCCGAGGGGGCGGGGCTTCCAGAGGAAGGAGGCAGGTGGCCAGCTGCCACGTGGATGGACGGGTCACCGTGCCACCCAGCTCCTCCTTGGGGTTCCAGAAAGGTTCCGAGGGCTGGGACAGACCTCACAGACGGTGCAAGAGAAAGGATGACGACCCCGAACCACACCAAGCCAACCTTGCAGGCAGCCCCCACCGCTGGTGGCCACGGAGGAGACAGTGCCTGGGGGGAACCTACTGCGAGTTTCAGGTCGATACTGGGCCCTCGCCAGAGGGGAGCCCCAGACCTCCCGGGCTTCAGGGACTCCTCGGGGCCCCACGCCCACAGTGGGTAAGCCCAGCCCTGCACAGGGACGCCCTGTCATCAGGTGAACACAGGGCGAAGGCTTTGTGAGCACCGTCCTGGGGTTCAGCTCCCCCAGCAGCAGCGGCGCAGGCAGAGGCTGCTCCCTGTTCCGGGGAGGGGGCTCTGGGCAGCCGCACCTGGGCGTGGCTTCCAGCAGCCCTCCACGGCGTGGGGCTCTGGGCTGCTTGCTAACCCTCCACGTGCCTCAGCTTCCTCCTCCACGCACGGGGCTCAGGGTGACCAAGCTGCTGTGTTCCTGGGGACCTCAACTGGCTCCCTTTGTCGCAGCTGCTCAGCTCAGCAGCTCCTCCACCAGTGAGAGGTACCACCGTTAGCCAGAACAGTGCGCTCGCTCGCAGACCTGATACCTGCTGGGCGCCCACCCGGAGCCGGGCACCGGGCACCGGGCAGGAGGAGACGCGTTGACTCCATTCTTTCTTACTGGGCACCTGCGACCGGGTGCTGAGCTCACAGCAGACCGACCCCCACGCTCTTGGGGCTGCTCACTGGGGAGAAGACAGCAGACCACACCCCAAACACGGTGGCCGGCAGCGAGCACCCCGAGGAAATGGAGAGAAGATGAGGGGGTGGAAAGCGATGGCGGGCTGGGGGCCGGTGCTGTTCCATGAGCCCCGGTCGGTCGGGGAAGGACTCTCGAGCAGGTGACCCCCGGGCAGGCGCCCAGCGGGGCCGAGGGAGGGAGCCGGAGCCGCGCTCTGCCTGGATCGCCCATTGTCCCCTTCCAGGAAACGCCTGCTCATCCCCTGAAACCCTTTTTGGGTGTCGATTGCTTCCTGGCCAGATGGCACTCGGCCCGGAGGGCTGGGGGCCCCTCGGGACAGCTGACTGCAGTCTTCAACACCGCAGAAAGCCCGCCAGCCCCCGACTCACTGACGGGGAGCCAGGAGGGACATTTTCGGGGCAGTTCCTGCGCACAAGGGACTCCCACGTCTCCTCCCCGTGAGCAGACAGCACCTCGTGAGGCTGAGCCCATCACCCCTGTTTCCCAGGGAGGGGGGTCGGCCAAGTCACCCGCTGGAGCACCCCCCGCCCCCGTCGTCAAAAAACAAGGCAGCGAGATCGGAACCCGAGCCCATTAGCCTCTAAGAGCCCTTGCGCCCACCCACTCTGCGGTCTGCCTGTACGAAAACGAGAGTTTCGTAGTAGGCGGAGCTGTTCCAATGTCGGTGCTTGGCTTCTGGGGGGAGTGAGGGCTGGACCCCTGGTGGCCCCCGCCTGGGCAGGGACGGGAGGGGTTCTGAGGCCGACAGCTGGGGATGCTCTGGTCCAGGACTGGGCCACGCTCTGGGCGTGGGGGGGGGAGGGCCAGAGCAGGTGGGGAACCGAAAACCGCAGGTGGCCGGAGCCAGGGAAGTGGGTCACTGAGTGATGGACGGTCATCTCTCGGCGGGCAGTGAGCACAGCCGTGAAAGCAGTGGTTACACAAAGGTCTTGACGAGGCAGGAAGCGCGCCAGGACGTAACATCAAACGAAAGGCCCACGACCCAGTTTCATGAGCGGACGGCGGCGACCGTGGAGGGGAAATGCGCAGATGGGGGCGGGTGCTGCAGGGACAACTGGCGGCCCTCGGTGCCAGGGGACCAGGAGAGAGGCCACCACCAGGCTGAAGGGGCCGGGAGGCAAAAGCAGGAAGAGAGAGAGAGAGAGGGGGCCCTCGGGCACAGCGGTGGGCTGTGGGGGCTTCTGGGTGGGACGCAGCGGGGACAGGAGCCGTTGGGGGCGCTCGGTGAGCGTTCTGGCGGAGCCTCCCGGCCTTGCGCTCACGCCCTGGCACTTCCTGACGCGACTGTCGGGTGAGGACACGCCTGGGTGGCGAGCAGCCCAGAGTGTCTGCTGGGAAGGACGCACGTGTGAGAAGACCCACCTCGGGGGCCAGGCCGACGGGCGGTGCGCCGTCCCCAGCCGTCACCTCCACGTCACCAGGAGCCCCCCGCCCGGAGGACCTGCTCTGTAGACGTTTGTCAAACTCTGCTGAGCAAGGCCGGGTCTTTGTGTCCTGCGTGATCGATGGGGCAATTATTTGATCAATAAGCACAAGCTGATTTAAGCATGCCCTATTAATTATTTAAGTCATTCATTATTGAAAAGGTCACTGCCTGTTAGCTGTTTAAGTGGTCATTCCCTAGCGGGGTGGCATCTCCCGTGAGGATGCAGCAATGGCGAACTGAGCGCCTACTATGTGCCGGGCATTTCATCCTCAGGACAAGCCCAGGGCGAAAGGGGTGCATTCCTCCCAAGGACTGGAAGGTTAAGGGGGTGAAGTAACTCGCCTAGAGTTACGAGCAGGTAAACGGCAGGGGTGGGACTTGAACCTGGCTCAGGTTGCTTTCAAAGCTCATGGACTTGGCAGTGACCTCTGTGACATAGGTTTTTGGCACCTAAATCTTACAGCCTGGGCTCAGGGTTATGCCCTCCCGGGGTCACCTGCCCGTGGCTGCAGCTCAGCAGCCCCCCTGCACCCCCATAGAGTCAGAACCGCTCCGCCCAGCCCTTAACTGGAGCCCCTGCACCCAGCCCGGCTCCTGCAGGGGCCGACTCCCGCCAGCTGCGCAGAGGGTCCCGCTCCACGGTACACAGGCCCCGCCCCCTCCTTCCGCCTCTGCTGCCAGGGCTCCCCAGCTCAGGTTACTCCCGGCCGCCCATCAGACTGGGGCCAGGCAGACATGAGAGTCGCAGCAGAGCAGGTTGGCCTGGAACACGCCCCCCTCCCCAGCCCTACAAGGCCAGTCCCCCAAGACCACCCCCCTCACTGGCTTGCCCCCCTTCTCCTGAGGCTCACTGAGCAGGCTGCTCGCACTGCGTCGCCTCAGACGCCTTCCAGTGACTCAGCGCATGTGCACAGTGGAACCCCTGATAGGCTCGCATTCTAAATTCTTTCTGAAAAACCTTCTCCCCTGCCCCTCACAGACTGATTTGCTTCCTTTGACCAAACTATGAAAACTTGGAAAATCATCTGATTTCCCCTCTTGCCTAGGCAGCTGGGAAACTCACAACTCCATTTAACGCTCAGTGGCAATGACTCTCACACCAGGCTCTAGGTGCAATCAACTTGCAAGCTATGCCTCCAAGCTCCGTTTCCTCCCCTAATTTTGACTTCCCTGCCCAGGCACATGTTATGATGGGCAACTTCAAATCTTTCTTGGCAAATAATCAGGTAACCGACGAGTCAAGCACGGTGGCAACAATGATCTAGTATTTTCCAAGCTCGCGCGGGCAGCCTGGGACCCGATTGCAACCACTCACCAGGCAGACGAACTCTGGAAGGTCACCAGCGGTGGGCTGTGGGTGTCTCCCTGCAGTGTGTGCACAGCCTGGGGGGCTTGTGGCAGGGAGCCCGGGGGAGGCTGGGGCTGCGGGGCCGGCTGCGCTGGCCGGGGCCCCCGGGCAGGGTTCCCCCACCGCCGGGGGTCCTGCTTCATCCAGCGTCCGTGGATGCCCCACCGCGCCAGGTAAACCTTGCAAATGTCGTAGTTCATGGCGGAGTAATACAAAAGATCCAGGACCAGCAGCATCAGCACGAAGAAGCCATAGATCCACACTCCCAGCAGGGCGGTGTAGTTGCTGGGGAAACACAGAGCGAGAGAGAGAGGCTGAGAGGGACAGCGGTCCGTCAGCTGGGCGATCAGAGCACACGGCGCTTGTCCGGGTCCCGGGGGGGAGGGCCCCGAGGACTCCTGGCCCCCTCTCCTCACGCCCCCCCTCCCCTTCCTCTCCCCGACCTGCCCCGTGTGCCTCCTCCCAGACCCTGGAATCCACCGCCCTGGACCCTGTCCCGGCCTGAGCAGCTCCCCCCACTCCAGGTCCTTAGGCAGGGTCCTTGGAGGGGACAGAAGGGGCGGACACTGGTAAACCTTTGACCAGACCATGAAAACTCGAAAAGCCACCCAGTTTGCCCCTTTGGAAGGAATTCTCCGTCGGGCATTCAGGGCTCCCAGGCTGTGGCGGACTCTCCCTTCACCCTCATGCCTCCCCGCCACGTGGGTGCTCCTCACAGATCTGCCAGCTGTCCCTCGTGGGTGCCCCCTGCCCGCCCAGCCCCGGGGCCCTCCTTACGCTGCCCCTGCCCCCAGCTCTCACCAGACGGGGCCCCTCCTTGTCCTAGGTCCCCACCGCAGGTCCCTCCAGACCCTGAATGGGGCCGGGGAGCCGGGCCTGGAGCCAGGGAGTGGGCCTGGTTCTGGCTCCTCATTGGCCCGGCTTTGCTGTGTGGCCTGGGAGAATCCCTGCATCTCCCTGGGCCTGGGGGGCAAGGAGGTGGAGCCCTCCCGGTCTCGGTTCCCAGACCCTGCACCTGTCTTCTGGCTCGGTTCACCCCAGCCCGGCCTTGGCCTCAGCAAGGAGATGGGCTGCTCCCCTCCCACCACCTCCCGGGGCGGACCGGCCGGGGATGCTCACTGTGCGCACCTGTGCCCTCTGCCTGGGACGCCCTCCTCCCAGCCCCACCCCTGGCGGCCCCTCCAGGGAGAGGCCTCTGCAGGCCCGAGCCCTCGTACGGAGCAGAGCAGGCACTACGGGAGATCAGGGCTTCGTCTCTGCCCGAGCAACAAGTAACCAGACAGGTTCCATCACAGCCACCTGCCTGCAGTCCCACCACCAGCCACCACCTCCATGAGGCCCGCAGGAGTCTTGGGGGCTCGTTCAGGCTAAGGTGTGAGTGACTGCCAGCCTTGTTGCAAGGGAAGCCACACTCACTGGGGGACACCCGGATATGGAATTCCTCCCCTGGAACAGAGGCTGGCAGCCGGTGTGGCGTGCTGCGGCAGGCGTCCTGGGGTGGACGTCCACGAGGACAGAGGAGGGCGTCCCGGAAGCCCCCACAGCGGTGTGTAAGCACCGTGCCTCCCTCAGGGGTTCCCAGGGCAGCGGCCGACGGGCCTGAGGTGGGGGTACAGGGAGGGGGTGGCAGAGGCAGTTGTTTTCCGATACTGCCCTGCAGGGAGGGAGTCCAGGACGGGGCCGGCTGGGGGTGGCAGCTGGACCACAGCTGGGCCTGGAGCCTCCCGGACTGGGAAACGTGGAAGCAGCCTGGGCAGGCGTTGCTCTAAATGCTTCCGCCTCTTAGCCCCTCCCACACCTGCACCCGGAGGGAGGGTTATTGGGACCGCCCCTGCCCCCCATTTACAGATGGAGCAGGAGGATCAGAGGCGTCAAAAGGTGTGTCCGAGGCCTCACAGCCATTCAGTGGCAGAGCCGGGATTGAACCCTCAGCCTAGCTCCCGGCACACGTGTCTAACCTCAGCCACAACCTACCTGGGACAGGTGCCCCCCAGGTTCTGAGAGCAGACCAGCCGCCTCCAGCACTTTGTCTATGCCGCTCCTCTGCCTGGAACTCGGTCCTGACCTGCTGTGCCCCCCAGCTGGCCCTGCCTGCATGTCTCAAAACTGCTGTCACCTCCTCCAGGAAGCCACCCTGGGCTCCCAAAGCTGCTGGGTTTCCCAGAACACAGGGTGCTGCCTTCGCTGTTCTATGGGACTGTCGGCACCTTGTGCTCACCGCTGCCCGGGGCCAGGAGCAGGTCGCCTTATCTTAGTGGGCCCCGATGTCAGCACGGGGCCACCTCTGCCACTCCATAAGCCAACACACACGAGGGCTGATGGCGAGCTGGTGGCCACGGTGGCCTGCACACTAACTTCGTCACTAGGCTGCACCTTCCCTGCGCACGCTCAGTGAGAGTTAACAGTCCCGCAGCGATCACGACACGCCAGTGCCCGGGGTCACCCGGGGCTCCCCAGTTCACAGAAGAGGAGGTGACACCCAGAGGGACAAAGCCCCTCGCCAAAGGCTGCACAGCCGGAGAGTGGCGCCGTGCTGGGGTTGGGGCCCGGGTCCATCTGACTTCAGACTCTGCTGAATCTTGGAGAAATCCCAAGGTCAAGTCCAGGACAAACGTCCAGGGAGCCTGCCCGCATCTGTGTGGGTACCCACCTGTCCCGGCTCACGCACCACCGGGACCTGAGGACGGGCTCCAGCCCCCCACCCCCGCTGCCCACCATCTCATCGCGTCCCCGTCCTCACGGACAGGCCTCAGCGGTGGCACAGATCTCAGAGAAGGGGGCGGAGCCCCTGCAGGAGGGGCCCCCTTCCCCGACACCCCCTCCCCTGCGAGGGAGGCCAGCCTGGAGGTGGCAGCCAGCTGGGAAGCCGGGCCGCAGGTGCCGTCCACCACGGCTCTCTTGCCTTCCACCGCCAGCCCCGTTCGTGGCTGGCTGGCTGCGAGCATCTTGTTTTTCTTTTTTAAATTTAATTTTAAAAATATGATCTGGAAATTAATTCCGTGCAGATGCAGAGGTCTTTTATGGGTGTGTGTGTGTGTGTGTGTGTGTGTGCGCGCGTTTAAAGGGCAGAAGTTAAAATAGAGGCTGTTTTATGGGGCAAGATGTGAAGCCAGCCAAATTTCCAGCTCTGCATTCTATTTTGGGACATCTACTGATGTGCATTCTTGTGATGTCTCCGGAGCCATGAACGAGACCTTCCCTGACGGAGGAACCTCACCGGACACCTTGCGGGGGAGGAGCAAGCCGGTGAGCGGAGGAGCAGCTGTGGCCCGGGGGAGCCGGTCGGCACCCGGCGGGCCATCCCGGGGCGGACGGACGGACGGAGGAGGCGACCTCCTGGAGCCCCCGGGTCCCAGAGGAACAGCCTGGGCCTGCCTCACCCCAAACACCCCAGCACCCAGCCCGCTGTGGGGCAGCCTGCGGGCCAGGGCAATCGGCTAACTGGTGCCGAACTGTGGACCAGGTCAGGGCTGTCCGAATGCCAATGCCAGCTCTGCAACACGCGCTCGCTGTGGCCTCGGGAAGCCGTCTGCAACCTGGGTGACAGGGGTCCCTGGCTGTGGGTGTGGGTGTGGCGCTGAGGCTTAGTGAGATGCCGCGGGGCCCGGAGGGGGCGGCTCCTGCGACTAAGGCACCTGGCGTGCTCACTGCTCTCGGCCCAGAGAGGCAAGGCGGCTGGCCCAAGGTCACACAGCAGGACGAGGTTGTCCAGCGCCCAGAGAAACATGGGCTCGGGGCCGTGAAGTAGAGTCCACAGTACTCACTGTCCCCCCTGCAGGCCTGCCCCCGGGATCCAACCTGGGTCTCTCCCCCTCGCTGGAAACAGACCTGGCCCAGCGATGTGCTTTGCCCAAAACAAACAAACAAAAACAAATTTAAAAACACACACACAAAATTAAAAGCAGGTTGTCCCAGCTGCTCCTGAATGGGAGTCACCCTGTGGTTCTGCTGGCACTGTTGCCCTCTGCTGTGGGGACTGCCCCATCGGCCTGGGGCACAGACACCCGTGTCAGAGCCGCAGGGGACCCCAGGGAGACGGGGTGGGTGGGGGCCAAAAATAAGCCTCTGCGCCTCGAGCCCTGGGACGGCCCTGGGGCTGCTCATTCTCACGGCGTAACTGAGCCCCAGTCTCGAACCCCGCTCTGCCACGTGGGTGCTGTGTGACCACAGGCAAGTCTTCGCCCTCTCTGAGCCTCAGCCCTGGTGTGGCTTGGCCAGCAAGGCCTCCTGTATGGACAGCACCTCTACGCGAGTGAGCGGGTTGGTGGGAGGCCCATCGCATCACCCCGAGTGCAAGTAAGTGCTCACTTATCTCCCGTCCCCATCCCCGTGTGGGGGAGGGAGTGTATTCAGGTCAGGAAACCTGGATTCTAGACCCTCCCCTGTCCTTACAAGGCTGCCGGTGTGAGCAGGTTTTATGCCTAACGGGCCTTGATGGGGCTGAGCAACCGGCAAGATCACCTGAGGCTTCTGACGGTGCCCCCGGGGCTGGACGCAGAGTCCAAAGTGCGATGGGGGGGATGGGGGGGGGTGCCTGGCCCGCAGGACCGGCCCAGAGCAGCCGGGGCCCTGCCACCCGGCCCTCCGTGCGGCTGGCATGCTCCTGAGCCCTGGGGAGGGGCAGCTTCAGGGAAGAGGTTTCATGCACAGAGCGAACCCTCGTCCAGCTCCCCCTCCAAGGCCCCTGAGCGTGCTCTGTGGCCCCAGAAGCCCTCTCCCACGCGCCCGCCCGAAGCCCATGTGCCTGGCGAGGGAGCACCCAGGTATCCCACAAAACCGCACTCCTTGGCACCAGGGCCAGCGAGACATTCCCTGTCCCCAGAGAGCGGACTGCTGACCCCTCACACCCCACCCCGCCCCGCCCCACCCTGTGCCCAGGACAGACGCTGCTGCCCGGCGCCCGCAGGGGAAGGTGAGCGGCACCTCTGTCCTGAATGAACGCCAGGGGTCCCTCGCCTGGCAGTGGGCTAGGGGGCGCTGCCTCCCTCGCTCGGCCTGCCCTTCCGCCAGGCGGCCAGAACCCAAACAAAGCATTCTTTTCCTCCAGGAAACACAAATAAATGTCATCAGCAGCACTCTCCCGTGCCTTGTTAGTGGTCCCGCCTCCTGGCCAATTCACAGGCGGGGCGGCCGGGTGGGCAGGCGCCAGGCCGTCCTTGCCCCTGACGGACCCCCTGCCTCTTCATGGAGCCCGACCCGGGTCACGGCTGCCCTGGTCCGTGCAGACTGGCAGCCGGCGGGCGCTGCCCTGTCTGGGGTGTGGGACCGGCTGGCCTCTAGGCTGAGGTCCGGTGCATCAGACACATCCTGGCGGTGGCAGAGCCGGTGGCCAGAACAAGGGCCTGGGTGTCCCTCGGGTCATGGGACTGGAGCGAGAACAGGTGAGCGCACCTGCCTGAGCCCGGCCCTTCCTTCTCCCTCCTGGAGTGTCTGTGAGGATTAATGACTCCCCCAGGGGATGACCCATCCTGAGATGGACTCCACCTGGCTCCCCTCACACACCAGGGCCAGCCAGGACCTCCCGGCCTCGCAGGCCCCGTCCCTCGGGGTCCACGGACCCATCCCGAGCAGAGCTCCGGGGCTCTGCTCTCCGCTCCCCATGGCGCAGCTCCGGTCGCCCCTCTGCCACACCCTCCCCCACCCCTTGTCACCCTCAGGAGAGAGTCTGAGTGCCGACCCCGGCCCACCCCGCTCCCTCCCAGACCCTGCTGCCTCTCACCCCGGGGAGGGGGGGCTATCACCTGGGGGGCTGATCCTGCACCCACACTTCATCGTCGGAGACCCGGTGACTGGCACAGCTAGGGTGCTGGGTGGGGCCAGGGGTGCAGCCCCTGCGGGGAAGGGCGGGCCCAGGTGCCAACACAGCTTCGGCCCGCACCCCTGCCTGGGGCCCCTCCGGCTCCAGCCTGCCTGCTGCAGACCTGGGCTGGCGCTGGGCTCCACCATGGACCAGCGGCCCCGACCAGGCAGCTTCCTCGGCCTCCCCTAGCCTCCACCTCCTCCGTGTCCAGTGGGCGAGGGATGGGGGCCCAGAGGGGAGGGCCGAGCACAGAGCCCGCCCCCCACGCCACACGCTCTGCAATGCCGTCTGAACCTCAAGCTTAAGGACTGCACTAAGCATCTGATCTTCAGTATTTCCGGTCCCCCGAGGGAAGGCCTCTGTTTGGGGGTCCCGCTTTCCGCCAGCGCAGCCGGGGCCCGCTGTGTGAACCGGCGAAGCGCTCGGTGTGAGATCCCGTGTGAACATGCGCGTGTGTTACAGAAAGCTGCGGGCTCCCAAACGAGGGTCCCGGACGCTGGTCGCCAGAGCCTTGGAGACGTCTGGCCACACCCCTGTCTGGTGTTTGGCCGGCGACCACAACACGACACGTCGGGGTCCTGGCATTGCCCTCCCCCCACTGCAGGGAATCCGTCATTGGTCTTATGAACGGCTTGGGCCAGATTGTGGGCCCAATTCCAGCCCTGGTCACAGACAGCCCTTGCTGACAGGCTCCACCCACAGGGTTATTCGAAGGCCCGAGCAGATCGGAAGACATTCACCCTGCATTTGAGGAAGGAAGGCTGGGGAGCCGGCGGTGGCGGGAGGAGGGGAGACTGGGAGGGAGCCCGACCTCCTGCCTGACCAAAGGGAAGAGAGAGGCGACTTCCCCGAGTGAGCTGGGCGTAGAGGGAGAGCACTGGAGCCCCAACAGCAGGGAGACCGGGACTCAGAATCCCTTCAACAGTTACTCAACAAACACTCCTTCCGGGTGGGTTTTTTCCTCACCACGAAAACAGTATGTTTGCCCTAAGAATCAGCCTCAGAGTTACTAGCCAAACATCTGAAGCACCCCCATCCAGGTGAGGAGGAGGATAAGAATGCCCGACAGTGTCAAAGCCTGTTTTAGAGGTACTTGCCAACACGATCGGACAAGAAAAAGACGTGAGGCACAGACTTGGAGAGCAGGACATGGTTACCATTGTTTGCAAATGGCAAAGTGAACCTAAGAGAAACAACTGAAAAAGTACTACAAAGATGAGAAATATTAGTAAGTTGGCTGAGTGTAAAATGCATGTACAGAAATCACTGGGTATGACCATCTGAACAGCAGTTGCTTAGAAAATCTAGTGGAAGAAAAGACCCTATTTATAGCAGCATAAAAGATGCATAGCAATAAATGTGAAAGATACGTGCGATATCTATATGAAGAAAACTCCAAATTACTATGAAAGAAAATTTGAACAAATGGGAAGATACAGCATGTTCTGGGAGAGGGATATTCGGCATCATGAAAAGTCAAGTCTCCTGGAATTAATGCATGAGTTCAACACAATCTCAGTAAAAAATACTATCTGGATTTTTTCTGGGCGGTGGGCAGGGGCGCTACACAAGCTAACTCTAGAGCTCCTGTAACGGAAGAGCCACAGAGAGCAGACCAAGACGACTTTGAAGCACATAAAGGCACAGCGCGGTATTGATCGTGGTGCGGTGCTCGCGTGTGGGTAGGAACTCCATTCCACACTCAGTCCTCCGTGCTTGATACGTTAACACTCAGAGTGAGTACATTATAGGGTATGAGTTCGCATTCCTCACCAGGGGGAAAAGGACAGACAATGCAGTGGCTGGTGTTGGGACAGCAGCCTATCCATTTGGAAAAATTAAAAAACAACGTTTGATGTCTGCCTCAAAGCTGACATCCAAATACATTTCTGACAAAGATTTGAAGGCAAAAAATCAGAACATAAAAGAAGTTAAAAAGGCGGGGGGTATTTTTAATGATCTCAGAGTAAAGAAAGTCTTTCTTAGTATGACACAAAACCCAGAAGACATTAAATAAAAATTAGACCCAACTGACTACATAACAACTACAAATTAAGCACGAGCCCTGGCTGGTGTGGCTCAGTGGATTGAATGTTGGCCTGCAAACCAAAGGGCCACCGGTTCGATTCCTAGTCAGGCACATGCCTGGGTTGCAGGCCAGGCCCCCAGTAGGGGGCACTCGAGAGGCAACCACACATTGATGTTTGTCTCTTTCTCCCTCCCTTCCCCTCTCTCTAAAAGTGAATAAATAAAATATTTTTTAAAAATTAAGCATGGGAAAAAAGCATCACAAATTCAAAGACACATTGAGAACATCTTTGTAATGCACATTTCCTTCACATATAAAGAGTTCCTGTAAATAAATAAGAAAATGGACAAAGATTCAATAGGAAAACGACGAAGGACATACAGGGCTAGCTCAGAGTGAGAGAAACACAGGCATCTCTCGAACACACGACCACATGCTCAGTGCCCGTCAGCGTGAGAGAAACACAGGCTGCTTCCTCCCTCCTGAGCACGCGCCCACCGCTCTCCTGCCCGAACCCTCCTCTCTCCGACCACTCCACAGGGCCCCTCCATCGGGCCGGTCTCCGGTTCTTTAATCACCCTAGGGAAGGAGGCTGTGTCGGATTAACCTCTGGGTCAAGAGCATTGCCAAGAAACTATTGAACATATAAGGGACGAATGAAGGAACTTGGGCCCCCTGGGTTCCAGGCCCAAGCACTTTTTGCCTAAAAGCCTTCCACACACTTGGCCTCATTTAATTTCGCAGCAGCCCTGAGAGGTAGGCGTCATGCGCCCATTTCTCAGATGGAAAGGCTGAGGCTCTGAGGATAGAACCGGCCAGAAAACCCGGTCTCCTGAACTCCCCCAAGTCCTTTCCAGCCACCCCCCATCCTGGCCGCCCTTCTCCAACAGCTGCCCTGGGGCAGGGGGCGTGCGGCCCACGGCGCGGGGTCGTGGGCCCGGCGGGGCACTTACTTGTGCGTGTAGCCCTCGGAGCTGGCCGTGAGGTTCGCCTGCATCACCGCCTGGAACTCCGTCTCGTTGCAGCAGTACTTGAAAACCGTGTTGTTATGGTGACAGCACAGGATGAAGGTTTTGTTGTCCGAGAGCCGGGGGCAGTGGAAGCCGAAGTGGTAGTGGCCTTTGTGGTCCGTGTAGGGCTCGCAGACCCGGAAGTGCGCGGACAGGACTGGAAAACAGAGGCCCGGGGCTCGGCGGGGACGCGCACAGGCCGGAGCACCGGCGGTGGGGCCCGGTGGGGCCCGGTGGGGCCCGGTGGGTCTGGCCTAGGCTCCCGCAGGTCTCTGCCCACCGAGCGAGCCTCACCTCCACCAGGAAGGCCCCTCTGGGCTCCCACCCCCTCCCTCCGACCACAGCCCGGCGCGCTCTGCGGCCCCTGCCCGGGGCTCCTCCTGCGGACCCTCCCCGGCATCTCTGCGTGCAGCAGGCGCTCACCTAGGAAGCGTTAACTGTGGACGGGCCGGCTCTGCCTCCTCCGTTGGGCCAGCTGGCTACTCTAGCGGGCAGATCTGAGGGCCCACTTTACAGATGTAGAAACTGAGGCTCGGAGGCCTGCCATGACCTGCCTGAGCTGGGAGGTGGTGGTGGAGCGGGCACCCACTCAGGCCGGCCCAGGGTGGGGGCCCTCTGCAGGCCGCCATCACCGGCTTTCCCCACCCCTGCGGCCATGTGGCCGGGGTGGACGGGAGGCCTGCTGACAAGCCCGGGCTGGCTCGGGGGCAGGCGGCGTGGGTGCAAGGACCGGTCCCCCTTGGGGAGAAGGGACACCCCCTGCGTACCTTGGTCTCTACTACAGCAGTGCCCTGGGCCCGAAGGTGCCCGGGAGCCTGTCCCAGCGCCCCACCCCCCCGCCCCGTCCTAGGGCCAGCTGCCCTGGCCTCAGACGGAGGCCCCTATTCAGCCACTGCTGCCGCTGCAAGCCCAGGACGGCATTCACCGCCGTGCCAACGGTGATAAGCAGGAGAGAAACTTGAATAAATATAACAATGGAAAAATCCTGGAGCCGCTGTCTCGGCCTTAATTAGTGTCTTCATAAAAGGGATCGCTGTATCTCATTTGTATTGCTAAAAAGGGCCCTCGCTGGCTGCGTGCACTTCTCCAACCACAAAGGCGCTGCTTTGGCACCCGCTCCTCTGGCTGGCTGGGAGGTCTGTCTCCCCGAGGGGCGGTCAGGATGCAGCCCACCCAGCTCCCGGTGTCCGCCCGAGCTGCCCAGGGGTGTCCCAGCGGGGCCGTGCTGACCGGTGGGCGGCTGGGCGGCCTGGGGAGCCCCTGGACCCTGCCCCAAGGCCGGCACCCTCTGCTGCAGAAGCGAGCACGGCCACTGCGGGAGCCGGGTCCCTGCATCTCAGCAGTCAGGGGAGCTCCAGGCCCCCGGCTCAGCCACCTCCTTGGGGAACAGGAGGCCGCTCAGGGGACGCAGAGGTCACCGAGTGAGCCCCTGGAGGACACGCCTTCTCATTTAGTCCCATGTGCTCCCATTGTATGGAGGGGAACACCGAGGCCCAGAGCTGCGGTCTCCAAGTGTGAGCTGCCGCGCTGCACGCCCTGAGGGCCGGTGGGCAGGATCGCGGGGCCTCAGGCCCCTCGGTGGACATTCTGAATCAGAAGCACTGGGCTGGGCTGGGCTGGGGGAGTGTGGACTAGCACTGCTGATGGGCGTGGGTTTGGGACTCGGGGCCTGGGGAATGGCATCCTGGAGGTGGGAGATGAGCAAGGTGGCACGGAGGTACCGAGAGACAGACACAGAGAGAGACAGAGACGGGGTGACAGACGGGGCTAAGCCGTTCAGGGCTCAGTGCACGCGGCCGCCCTTGCCGTTGGGATTAGAGCAGCTTCCCCGGTCGGCCAGCGCTGCTTTGGAGAAGCTGGAGGACTTGGTTTCTGCCCACCTTCGTCAACAGGAGAGTGAGGCCCCACCTGCAACCCCAGCCGGGGTCACAGCATGGTCTAAGAGGCTGGTGGGGCCTGGGCGTCAGGCAGCGGGGGTTCGAATCCCAGCCCCTCACTGGCTGGACTGTCTCCGGCCCGCCGGCCCCCTCCCCAAGCCTCGGGGTCCTCATGAACACAAGGGGAGGCCTACGACATCGCCGGCCTTTGACTTCCAGGAGCAGGGGAGAGAATTCGAGCAAGGTCCTCTCTCTCCCAGGTTGGCTGGCAGCCACCGCGAAGCCCGCAGCCTCTGAGAAAACGTCTCAGTGGTGCCCCCGGGCAGGTGCATGGGGTGCCGCACCGGCACCGAACAGAAGCTCCTCACGAGGGGAATGCCAGGGGGGCAGGGGACCCAGAGCACCCCCAGTCAGCACCCAGGACCCCGGCTGGGCTGGCACGGGGCCTGGGAAGGGACGCCTTGCCCCCCCCCACCCCCGTCGCCCCCTCCCGCCGAGCACCCGCGGAGGCCCTACCTGCCGAGACCAGCAGCGACAGGACGGCGAGCACGTTCAGGGACTGCTGGCCACAACTGGTCATCATTCGGCTCGCATCGGTCCGCCCGGCGCCGCCTGTTCAACGAGACCCGGAGAGGCCGGTGTGGGCTGCTGCCGGCGGCGGGGACAGACACTGGCCGTGCCGCCCACAGCGGGGAGCGGGGAGCCCGGGCGGACGGGGACGCGGGTTTGCTGGGAGCAGGGGCCGGGCCGCGGAGGATGGAAACACGCCATCCAATTTCCTTTCTGGAACGCGTGACCTCCCCCCCCACTAGTCAACTGCCACCTCCTCTTCTTTTCACGGCGAAATGAGACTTCATCAGTGGACGGGTGGCGCAGGTGGCACAGATAACCGAGGGGCGGCTGCGGCCGGCGGGCAGGGCGTGCCCGTGGGGAGGAGAACGCACCGCTCTGAGGAGGGCTCCCGCACCCCCAGGGCGCACGGGCCCCCGTCTCCCTGCCCTGTGTGAGCCCTGACTTCCGTTAACCCGGTTGCCGTGTGCATCGGGCCGGGCCGGCCACCTTCCCGGCATCCGGGGCCCCGCGGCGAGCTGCGCAGACACAGGCAGAACTAAACAGAAACCGCCCCTGCCCCGGCGGGCGCGCTAGTGACAGCCCGCCAACAGATGGACATTTAAACCGCTCCGAGCCCCCGGGGAGATGGCCGGGGACACAGAAAGCAGGGGCTCTCACCGACGCTCGTCCACCCCGCACAGCAGCACAGCTTGCGGGCGCCGACAGGTGGGGACAGCCCAGCGTCCGCGGACGGATGAGCGGGGCCGTCCAGGCGACGGAGCGCGAGTCCGCCTTCAACAGGCAGGAAACTCCGGCTCTGGCTGCAGCACGGAGGAACCTGAGGACCTCGTGCTGGGTGGGCGGAGCCAGTCACGCGCGCGCTGACGCCGCGGCCTCCGCTCCTGTGGGGTCCCGCAGGAGTCACACTCGCAGAGACAGACGGTGGGATGGGGGTCTCCAGGGGCTGGGGTGGGAGAACGGGGAGTTCGTGGTTAAGGGGGTCGGTCTCGGTCTGGGGAGACGAGAATGTTGTCCACCCGTGTGAACGCACCTAATGCCATTGAGCTGCGACTTAAAAGGGGTCAAATGGTGAAGTGTGTGGGTGTTTTACAAAAACCTAGGAGGAAAGATAAAGCAAGGTGTGTGCGTGGGGTGGGGGTGCGGGGTGCTAACACGGGCCGCCTGGGCGGCCTCACTGCGGAGGGGGCTGCTGAACAGACGTGAGCGCCGCCAGACCAGCAGTGTGGCTCCTCGGGAGGGGGCTGCAGCCTGGGGTGCCCCCAGGGCAAAGGCCCCGAGGTGGGGGGGGAGCCAGTGTGGGGAGGGGGGAGGTAGAGAGGATGAATTTGCTGAGCACCTACTATGTGCCGGGCCCTGATGGCACCCCACTATGGGGCATGAATTTTGTTCCCCCACAATTCACATTGCTGTCTGAACCCCAGTAACTCAGAACGGGCCCTTACTGGGAAGGGGGGACTGGTGGAGATGGAATTAGCTAAAACGAGGTCACACAGGAGGAGGGTGGGCCCTGACCCAACGTGACCCGTGTCCTTACAAAGAGGAAACACGGACACAGAAGTGCACCCAGGGAGAAGCCATGGGAAGGGGGAGGCAGAGAGGGGGTGAGGAGCCTGCAAACCAGGGAACCCCAAGGACTGCCAGCAAACCCTAGTTTCCCCTAAACTAGTCTGCCCCAGAGCCCCCACAAGGAGGCGGCCCCGCGGACCCCTGGCCTCGGATTCTGGCCTCCAGGCTGGCGGAGCATTGGCCAGGTGAGGCCCGAGCCTGGGCGCTTGGTTCCCGCAGCCCCTGGAGGGGGGAGCATCCTCACCGGCACGGCTGGGAGCAGGATGTGACCGGAGGTGGCGGACCCTGGGAGAGCCAGGACGCGCCTCGGCGGAGACGCTGCGGGCCCTCTCGGCCGGGCTATGCCTCAGCCGCAGAGCAGGCTCCTGCACCCACCCGCCTTGGTGAGGCCCTCCAGCCCCCGGGGAGGGGGTGCTGGCCCCAGAGGTGTGCACACTCAGTGCAATGTGCTGCCAGGGAACACGGTTCTGGAAAAGGAGAGGGAGCAGGGCCACACGCGGCCCGCAGGAGCGGCCCCTCTGGCTGCCCATTCTGTCCTGGGGCACCGGCCAGGGCTGGGGCTGGGCTGCAGGGGCCACCAATAAGCTGGCCCGTCCTCGCTCACACAGCTGCCAGCCTGGTCAGGGAGAGTGCAGGGACCCCAGCCGGACCCCAGGCCGCGCTGCCTCCTGCTCGGCGGCTGGCAGGGCAGGAAGCCACCGGGGCAACCTGTGCTCCAGGGACTCTGCCAGGAGGAGGCAGGGCCGGACGCAGGGCCGGACTCAGGAGGTCAGGATCGGCCCCGGTCCCTCTCTCTTGGGTCCTTGGTCTCCTCACCGGCGCCCGGGCAGCGTGGAGGCGCAAAGGGAGCAGGAGCCCTTCTTCGGTGTTTGACCCAGGCTTTTTAAAAACGGGGTGGCAAGTCCCAGGGATGAAGCTGAAATGCCTTCGCGCGACACTGGCTCCCAGTGCCCCTGCGTCCCCTCTGGGGAAGGGCTCTTCCCGTCTCCCCGGCCGGCCGGCCTCTTGCTCCCACCCGAGCCTGCTCTGCCCCACCCGCTGTAAGCTGCTTAATTGCTCTGAGCCCCGGTGTCCTCCGTGCCTCCCTCGGGGCCCTCTGGCGAGGATGGAGGAGATTAAAGCGTTCCGAAGTGCTTAGGAAGGGCTTTCTGCTGGGGCACCTGGGGATCAGGCCTGGAAGCGGCGGGCAGGGGCGGAGGAGGCCAGGCCCTCTGAGAGGGCACCCTGCCCCGTGGCCCCGCCCCACAGATGGGGGGGCAGAGATGAGTCCCCGGACTCCAGGTCCTTCTGGCCCCTGCAGGTGGGGCTGCCCCACTTTTGGAGTTGAGGCTCCAGGCTGAGAGCTGGTGGGTTGGTCCAACGCCAGAAAGAAGGGGGTCCACCTCTGCCCGGGGCTCTCTCCTGCTGCTCCCACTCCCTACGCAGCCCTGCCTATATGGGGGGAGGCTGCCACTCACACCTGAGTGCCCTCCCCTCATTTCTGGGAGTCCATATCCTGCATCCCTTTAGAAGCTGCTCCAACGCCACCTCCTCCAGGAAGCCTGCCTTGATTCCATCAGCTGGAAGAAGTCTGTCTCCCCACTGAGAATTATCATACACCATCTCTTACAGTAATGCATTAATTCACGTGATCATTCATCGACTCTCTCAACACCTACTCACTGACTGCTGACTGTTGAAAGGGGTCTGGGCTGGGCTCTAGGGGCTGGGAGGATGGGGGTCCCTGCCATCAGGGGCACCAGGCAAAGACGCCCGCCAGTAATACCTGGAGTGGTTGGCCCCCATGCCCTACTCCATCAGCCCCCGAGGGTCCCGAGCCAGGGCCTGGCCCGCTGGGGGCCGCAGCCACAGAGCTCGGGCTCCGGAGCCCCTCACAGACGGGTGGGAACCCCAGCCGGGGACACCGGCCCCGGGCCCCAGGGACAGTCTGGGGGAACTGAACAGTGGCCGGGGGCCTGTGGTGAGGGTTACCCTGCCTTGTGGGTATCCGGGTCCTGCACACCGCTGGTGTGCCCTACCATGACACACTGTGGCTGCGTCTGTCCCCTGCCCGCTGGCCCACGCCTCGAGGTCTGCTCAGTGTCCTCGGCCACCCCTAGGGCTGCCTGACCAGGGTCAGGGTGTGGAGTCTCTGGGTTGGTGGCCGGGGGCGGGGGGGTCCTGTCCTACCTGCCCGGGCTCCCAGGGCAGCCCCGGGGCCAGAATCGAAGGCTGAATCTGGAGGGGAAGAAAAATCCACCCATGGGAAGTTACGTAAGATGCCCTTTCCAGCACCCGGGCAGCGACGCCTGGAGGCCAGCGCCCCTTCCCTGTCCGGTCAGGAACCCCGTGGCTCGGCCTCCACCGGAGAGCCGGCCTCAGAGATCACGTGATCCAGAGCGCTGACATTCACAAGGCCAAAGCCATCACCTCGTCCCTCCGCAGGGCAGCAGAGGGGGACCTGGGCTCCGGGACTTTGAGCTCCGGTGAGGAGGGCACGTCACGCCGGCCAGCACTCCCCGCTGGGACACCCACAGGGGCCATCTGCTGGAAGCTGCTCCAGCAGCAATGGGCGTGTGGGCGGGAAGGGCACGCACCCCACCTCGCCACCACCCCGTCCCCCCAACCAGGCGCTGCTGCTGGGGGCTGCAGCCTCAGGGGCCTCCGCCCGGGGCTGGCTTTCATTGGCTGAGCTCGTCACGGGTCTCCAGCTTTTCACCGGGTGACTTCATGGGAGTCAGGGAGGTGGATCGTCAGACCCCCCAGCTCATGAAGAGGGAAACTGGGGCTCAGAGAGGAGCAGTGACTTGCCCAAGGTCACACAGCCACTCAGCAGCTCAGACAAGAGGCCAACCCAGCCTTCAAGCTCACTCTCCCTCCCAGCCCGAGGGGTCTGCGGCCCCCACACCAACGCCCACCAGAAAGCACATGCGCCACAGGCAGTCCTTGTATCATCCAGGTTCCATTTCTTTGAAAATTGGTGAACTGCCCAGGATGGCCGCTCACGTGAGGCCAACCACAAGCTCCAATGGCCGTAAGAACATTCCGGCTAGGGGCACGCCGACGGATCCACAGTCACGAGCCGGGCACGCATCTCTGTGGTCTGCCCCCGGGGTCAGCCGGGGACTGCAGTTCCCAGATCTGAGGATTATTTTTAAACACCGAGTTTGGCGAGGCCAGCGAGGAGAGGAAGGAGGGTATGTGAAGAGACACAGAGCTGGGGAAGATGAATTCAGCCCCAGCGGGAACCACAGATCTGTTCTGGTCGGTCGGCCGGGCTGGGCAGGGGAGGGGTGGTGGCAGGGGCAGGGCCTGGGGGGTGTGCGGGAGGGGCAGCCCTGGGCACCCCAGGCCTGACCTCTGGCCCCTGGCCCAAAGCCTGGAGGCTCCCGGCGTCCCCCGGCCCACCCCTCCTCAGCACCACGCCCTCCGGTGGGCGGGGCCCAGCGCAGCACCTCGGGCCTGGACCCAGTCAAGGGCGGCACCGCCTGCGG